TGGATATTTCCAAGTTTAAAAGAGCTATTCTAAATTTTTATTTAAATAGTTTTTATCCAAATTGTGTTTATTTGTATTTAAAAGATAAGTTTTGTCTTTTAATATGTATATTGGTAAATATTTTTTCTAGTTGTTTTTAATAATAAATCTTTTACTGTGCCTACTGGAGTCTTTCTTTCCTCTTAGTCAAATCACAGAGCTTGCATTCATTTTACCTAAAATAAAATTGCTAAAAAAACAGTAGAGGCTCATTGTTGGAGTTATTGAATGACAATTATAAAATTAATGTGCTGACATATGAAACATTCTGATTCTGGTTCTATCCTGTGATTCAATCAGGAGGGTCATAAACTTTTATGACCTGCATCCAGTAGGTCATGAGGCAGAGTCACACGGTTTTATCCTGTTTTATCCTTGGCCTGTATTAGGAACTATTTCAACTAAATCTATAGTTGTCAACAGTCTTGCATCAATTCTTGTTGTAGACCACAAAGCATTTGGAATATCTTTGAAATCATTTTCATCAAATTGTGATAGCAAAGAATGTTGAGTTATTATAACACATGCTAAATCTTGAACCTGGGGTTTTACATTGAAAATAAATTTATAAGGCTGTTTCCATAGTTCTGTGTTAGGGCTATAAAGCCAGCCTGGTTTGTGTTGTGCGGACATAGATAGAGATCAGATGCGCCTTCTGCAGCTTCTAAACGCAGGCCTGTGTCTCTCCACTGTGCTTCACTGGTCTTAACCAATGCCAAATGATTTACCCATGATAAGCGGTACATTCCTTACATATGTGTAGAAAGCATAACAGTAACTGCCACTAAGAAACTCCATCTATGTACATAATTTGTGTAGCCATTATAGTAATGTCTTGTTTCAGAAACTGTTTTGCACAAATTCAAAGTGTTCTACTGTTCAACTAACAGACTTTTATCCAGTGGATCTGACAATGTGCTTCTAGCATAGTGCATATAGACACAAGTAGATTTTGTTGAAACGCTATTTATATGTTCTCCACATTCAGCCTTCATGCCCCCCTGTTTGGGAAAAATTGCTTAATTTTCCCATCAATTCCCATCCTAACAAATTAATGTGGTGAGTTGGTGATATTACTACAAAAACATAGAACCTTGCAATCTTTTTCCTGTTTGAAGGTTTTCTATTTTTAAAGGTGTTCCATTTGACCATTTGCTGATTTTACAAAAATTAGCATTTTAGATGGTTTTAGTCCTACATTATCTTGAATGCAAATTTTACAGGCTCCTGAATTGCATTTAAGTCTAACTGCTTGTCTAATAATTGTTAAAACTATTCATGTTTTTGCCTTTAATGCATTTAATATCCACCATGCTTCATACACTTCACTATTTTAATGGCTCCCCCATTTGCTCAAACACCTATTCACACTCAGATGAAGAACTTCCCCTGTGGACTCTTTCTTCCTGGTCTGCTTTTACTAGTCTGGGCTGAAAGCCCCCTTTGAAGTTCTAGAACCGCCCCTGCATCCTTGATGCCTTTTGAAATTTCACATGTTTTCGTTAATGCACCAATTTCTGCAGCTTGCGCAGAATATGATGATTTCAAAGCAGCACTGTAAAGAGTTTTTTTTTAAACTAATCTACAATTGTAAAAACAACAAATTTCTTTCTGGAAACTGACACATCCACATACAAATTTTATAACCCTCCTGCCGTTCATCTTTTAAATCTGAACGTGGCTTGCAACTAATAGTTGTTCTTTCAACACATTGGTGAGGGTCACCATCTTCCGGTGTGGGCAGCAAGGTTGAGGGATTTAAAGAATTACATCTCTGAAGCGTGAGGTGAGGCTGAGACAGCAAAGTGGTCATAATATTTTGATGTCTGGCTGGAGACATAAAAGTCATTTTTGCTGATGTGACCAACAGTTCCACTGCATGAGGTATTAACAAGGTCAGCGGATGATACAAGACAATTTCAGATGAGCTCTGCTCAGCAAGAGCAGCAGCACAAACTGATCTTACGCAGTGTGGTAGGGCAGCTGCAACTGGATCTAATCTTTTGGAATAAAATGCCACTGGCCTCATTTTTTCCCCTTGTTTCTGCATTAGCAAAGAGGTCATGAATTGTCCCCCTTCAATCCACTGCTTGGATGAATGGTTTAGAATAATCTGGTAGCGCCACTACAGAAGAGTTTGCAATCAGGTCCTTTAGTTGTGAAAAAGCTGACTCTGCAGTTGGAGTCCACACTATTTTATCTATCATTGCCATATCATTTGTATAAATGAGATCAAGCAGTGGCTGAGTGACCTCAGCATAATTGGGAATCCATGTCCTACAGTAATTACACAAACCTAGAAAAGCCATCATTTGCTTTTTAGTTTTAGGCTGTGGAGCGTTCAACACCCCCTTTTTCCTGTATGTACTGTAGCTTGCATGACTAAAATAATTTTCTTGTGGGTTTATTAATTTTAAATTTTGGTTCCGAAATTATAGTTTTGGAGACCCTGTAGACGCATTAGGAAGGCTGTCAATTAGAAAAATGCTGCAGTCATCGCTCCAGTGACATCCCCCCTGCGCGCTTATGCAGATTTAAGCTGTCTCCCTCTAAACTGTGTTTTGTTATTTTTTGGACGCACAAACAACTTAAAAGACCCACAAACATAACTTTAAAGACAGACACTATCTATCTATTTATTTATTTATTTATTTTTTCACTAGTGCTTGTTTTTAGCCGGCACATAACATTTCTCCATTGATCTACTTCCACATACCATCTATTTCATACTCTAACTTCCACTCCTACAAGTATTTTAAATTACTTGGATCAATCTGACACAAACTTTACATCCCCTTTATGATCTTCTCTATACTCTTCCCTGAACCCATCATTTTTAATTCTTTTACCGCCCTGACTCACTTTAGTTCTATTATTTTATCATTTAGTTCTTATTATTTTATCTTGGAATAGAGGCGCCCCTCAAACCCATATTTTTTTCCAAACTATATATTCAAGTGATTATTTTTTTTTGTTGGATCCTGCACTTCTACAACTTCTAATCGTAGATTCTAAATTATCTCTAATTTGTTTTGACCTTTTCCCATTTTAAAGAATTTTGTCCAGTACAAACACCTAGGGTATTCTACGCACTGGATGTTTATTCAGCAGGACAGCACCCAAACACTGTTGTGGTAATTTCTGCTTCTACCTTTTCAGGTGAGAAATTCTTGCCTCTGCATCCACAAGAGTTATACTGTATACACACTGACTTCCATCCAGCCAGATGGTCATTTCACACTGTCCTATGACCTGCATCCTGCCAGATAATCATTACTGGGTTTTCTGTTTAAGGCCCGCCCTATTATGTTGTAAACTGTTAATAAAAGGCTTTGCTGTGAAGGGATCTGGGAGAAAAGAGTGTTGGTTGTGAGCCAGCAGTTCTTCTCCCCTACTGCAGAGGCTGATGTTACAAATCCCTGTCTGTGTTTGATCATTTCATCCTCTTAATCTTTTAAACTCACATTTCTCTGGATCTAAAACCCAACACTCAGTACATGACAGTATATATGAATCTACCACCTCCTTAAAATTCATGTTTGAAAAGTGTATGGCCGTCCGTGCCTGATAACTAAATGATCTGCCTCCCATTCTACTTTTAGAAATTCTAGGAACCACTAGTAAACCTGCAGATGGAAAGTGAAGTGCTCTGTTAGGAACATAAGGAACAATCAGATCTTTGATATAAGGTGGAGCTTGGCCATTCAAGGCTTTCTTGTGAGAAGCAGGATTTTGAATTCTGCTTTAAATTTTATTTCGGATTTAACATGAAGCCAGTTAAGAGAAACTAGGATAGAAGAAATATGATATCTCTTTTTAATTTTCATCCGAACTCTGGCTACAGCATTTTGGATCAGCTGAAAAAGAAGAAATTCTAGAAACCTTTTTGATATAGAATTTTATGTGACAGTTTTTAATAAAAAATAAAACAATTTTATTACTTTATTATATGAGAACAATTTCATTCCATCCAAATGAAGTGACTGACTAATAAGCTCTTTTTTCAAAGACTCTGGTCCAAAGACTATAACTTCTGTTTTGCCTACATTCAGGAGCAGAACGTTAAGAGTCATCCATGTTTTTATGTCTTCAAGACATGCCTGTAATAAATGTAATGGGTTAGCTTCATCTGGATGAATAGACAGATAGAGCTTAGTATCATCAGCATAAAAGTGGAAATTAATTCCATGCTGTCTAATAAATCTACAGATTCGGAGCATATATATATAGTAAAGAGAATTTGTCCTAGCAACTCCCCAACTAGGAGTCCTCCTCTGCCATCCTTTTCCTCTTCTCTGAATGAAGGAGTGCTCTCCTGGCTCTGGAGGTGACTTCTTTAGCATATATTTCCAGTTTATGCATAAAAACATATTTGACAAGGATTTGATTGTGGAATTGGGGCACTCATCACCTTCCATACTGTGAAGTTTCCCTTTATTTTCTTATTAAAGTAAAAAAAACAAAAAAGAAAGGGTTTAAACTGTACTTAACAAACCAATTTGTTGTAAAGCAATATTTATTCACCAGGCTTGCTTTAGGTGACTTTATCTAAACAAATTGTTATTGTATAGGCTAAAAATGTTATGACACATTGATTTTGAAGGATGGTTCTCCAGTTGTTTGTTACTGAAAGGATTTTGTAGAGAGACAACGGAGTTACACATAAAGACATTGTCGGGTTCATCATTGAATAAACTTGACAGACATATTCAGGCAAGGACCTTGCTAGCCTTCTACAGCAAATCAATTATAATTAAGAAGGAACAAAAACATTTATTTTTTATATAGTACATTTGCAAAACCCTAAAGGCAACTACAGAAAACTATTTTAACTGTTCTTGTAAAAGTAGGAACACACCAAGCACATTTTCATCTGAAATACATTGTCATAGATTATACATGAATGGTACACTGACGATGGCAGAATAAAATGATAATGTGTCGGTATATAAATCTATAAATCAAAACAGATTAGTATTGGAAAAATCTCCCTGAAATAACTTCCCTTGAATGATCATTTTGAAAGCCCTTCTGAACCATTTATAGAAGAAAGCATAAACCAGTGGATTTAACATAGAATTGGACCATCCAATCCATTTAAATATTTCCACCATTACATCTGGTGTTTTGATTTTGTACATTCCATAAAAACTGATAGACAAAAAGTAGGGAGTCCAACACATGAAGAAGACTCCCACTACAATAGCCAGAGTTATGTTTGCCTTTTTCTCCATCTGACTGACAGATACAGAAATCTTTAAAGTTTTCTGGATGCGGCGTGCCTGCTTTTTTGCCACAACCAGAATCTTTAAATAGATGATCAAAAATATAATAGCTGGGATGTAAAATGCAAAGTAAGATCCTGTAATAGATTCCTTTGTAACAGAAAAAATCTTGCACCTCCTGCTAGGATCCTCTAAGCCTATCCTTCGAAATGTGATGATAACCGCAAGTAAAAGGTGAAAAGTCCAGCTCACTAGGATCAAGATTAGAGAAACACGAACATTTATTTTATTTCTATATGTTAGAGGGTGACATACTACATAATATCTGTCCACAGATATGAAGCATAAGTTAAGGATGGATGATACAGACAATAACATATCAAACAAACCTCGAATTTTACAGGGTAGATGAGTTGAATACCAGCATGAGCTCATAGACAATACTGAACTAAAAGGTAAAACTAAAGCCCCAACAAGCAGGTCACTCACAGCTAGAGAGAGGATAAGGAAGTTTGTTGGAGTGTGAAGCTGCTTAAAGTATATGATAGAGGTGATTACAAGAAGATTCCCACTTATAATGAGAAGAGATAAAGAAGCAAAAACAACATACAAGGCATAAGTGGTCACAGTTTGTCCGTGCCACTTTGAGGATTCATTACAGAGGCGCTGGTCTTCAATCATATCATCAACCCTGTGCAAAAACCTGCATCACTAAAGAGAATAAGAGATTTTAGTAGGATGTGTTTTAAAATCTATGCTATGCAGTAAATGTGGAGGGATGTGTCCGTTGGTCTCTGTATGACTGAACAACATACAGTGCCTGCATTTGTTTTATTATTCCATGTCTATATGTTCATTGGCTGTTCACAAGTGTAACTGGGGCTTTCTTTGTAACCAAGGTGAGATATTTCCTGGTCTCACCTGAAGTAGCATTTTTCATTTATTACAGTTAGTGTGTACTGTTCTACAGGAATGTATTAGTGAACAAATAAATTAAGAGTGCTTTTCTGTAGATTTACTTGACAGTCATCATCAATGGTGAGGTCTTTTTTAACCCATTTTTTCCTCAGATTTCCCAGGTGGAAACCCAAAGTATACCCCTTAATTTCATTGACTTCTGGGAAAATAAGTACTTACAACCAGCTCCACTAGTTGGGGGAAAAAATGTATTGTTTATTGAATTAAGTGAAACATACTGAGCCGCTGCTGTGTTTTGTAACACAGAGGTACATATTGATGTAAAAAATATTTTTTTAACAAATCACTTTTCCACCTGTTTGCCTGTAGACAGTTGGAGATAGGCACCAGCACCCCTTGCGACTGCAGCTGGGATAAGCGTGCTAGAAAATGGATGGATGCAAGGAATGGTCACTTTTCCAGTAGAATACACAAAATATTAGTGAAAAAGTTCAGAGGATAACGTTGTAATGGCTAAAGGAAGAATTAGCGCCACTTTAAGTAATTCAAACTTATTTGAGAGATTTCACAGATTTGGTTCTGCAACATATGTCACAAATAAAAACAATGATATCGCGCAGAGTACCGTAAATGTGAAACTCGAAAACATGCAATATGCCATGAGCACAATTTTTGGGGTGGCATATTTTGTTTTTTTCTAAATCCGTTTTTTGACTGATTCGGATCAGGGGGACCTATTTGGCGACCACCATACTACAGTGCCTATAATACAATGCATTACCGTTTCCAATGGAGTTTTTAACCCTCATACATTCTTAGGGGGTCACGGCTCACAATCCGAGAGCAGTCCCTCTCCTAGGCAAGCATCCCAAACATTGTGGTTGTATGCCTGAGCTAAAGATGAAGGAGGTTAGGGTTTTTTTTTAATCCAATGAGAACAACGAAACAAAACGTGGTCTGTAGATAGGTTTTCCTTATTGGATGCACGATGTTTTGTTTGAATTTATGATTTTTTTTTTTTATTTATTTATGCCTTATTTATGGATTATTTATTTAATATTTTATTCTTTAACATAAACAACATTTTCTCTTCGCAGGGGGTCTATCACGACCACAACAACACAGTAGACGTGTCGTCGGAGGACCACCCTCTACACCCTGAACCGAACTCCTGCCCCTTGGACGGGATCTACCTCTGCGTTGCTTATGGGGCGATATCCTTCCTGGGGACCATCGGCAATAACGTAGTGTTTGCCATGACGTACCGCTGGGGCAAGGCGAAAAGAGCCACTTCTGACAAATACAGGCTGCACCTGTCGGTGGCCGACCTCCTATGCCCCCTCACGCTGCCCATCTGGGCTGTAAGAGCATTCAACGGCTGGCACTTCGGAGGCTTCTTTTGCACAACAGTGCATGTGGTCCACACGGCGAGCCTGACATTGGCCTTCGTCAGCGCCAGAAGTGTCAAGTCACCAAGTACAAATACTTATTTACTGTACACATCTTAGCTATCTTTAATTTACTCCATTATTTATTTTTCTTCCTACTTCTGATTTTTACTGTTGGGATCTGGAGCTGTACCACCTTCCTCCAGCAGAGTGCGCCGTAGGTCCTCCTGAGCTGAGCCTCCAACACACCTGTGGCCCATCTCATCATCAGAGGATCCTCCAGTATATAACCTGCCTTCAGACCTTGCCTCAACACAGCAGTGTTGATCTAGTTTGGTTAGCAACCTGAGCCTAGTAAACCTGAGAATGCTATCTCTTGTAGAGATAAGATTCTAACTCTTCCTTGTTTTTGCCTCACAGGAATCCTGCCCTCAAAGTCAGAAGCAAGACGCTGAAGCAGTTATTGGACTCTGCTGAACAAACAGTCTCTGGATCCAACAGTTACCTCTCTCAAAGAGAAGCCCGGACTCCTTCAAGGTATTCTTCAGCAAACTCTAAGTCTCATAACTCATCAGTCCCTGCGCTAACTGAACTGTCATCCCTGCAGACTCCAGTGAACCTGCCCCCAGGCCTGAACCAGTTCCAGTTGCAATATTCATGTGCTTGTGTTTCAATAAACCTTGTTAAACTTTTCATCAGCCTCCGTTTGTGTTCTGCATATTGGGCTTACTCAGTAACCAATCATGACAGAACACTGCGGCCAAACACAAAGCCCAGCAGGCCACCTCCGTCGGAGGCTAGAGGAGCAAGACGCTCAGTTCCAAAGACAAACTCAATCCCACCGTGAGTTACATACCATGGTTGATTATCAACATCAAATGCCTCAAACACATGCTAGCTACTTTGGCAGTGCTAACGCCGCGTCAGCGACACGTCTAGTTCCGGATCCACTTTTGCCTCCAAGTTCATCAGCCATGACGTCATTTCCTGAGTTCCGTCCTAGTCTCCCTGAAAAGTTCTCAGGTAATCTGAAAGACTGTAAAGGTTTTTTGTTTCAATGCCGTCTTATTTTTGAGAACTCTCCTGGCAGTTTTCCAACTGAAAGGAAGAAGATAACTTTTATTTTGTCCCACCTAACCGGACGAGCCCTAGAGTGGGCGGAGGCAAGGTTTGCTTCCGAGGACAGCTTCAGATGTACTTTTGCTGAATTTGTTTCTGAATTTTCCCAGGTGTTTAATCAGGACTCTGATCAAACAATTGACTCCCGAGCTCTGCTTAATCTAAGACAGGGAAATTCCTCAGTAGCGGATTTTTCCATCAACTTCCGGGTCAAAGCCGCAGCTTCCGGATGGAACGAATGCTCTTAAAAGTGCATATTTTATGGCTTTGAATGACAATATCAAAGATGTACTTGCAACTCTCGACGAACCATCTAGTCTGGAGGATTTAATCCGCCTAACTATTAGGTTGGACAACAGACTTCGTGCTAGAAACAGTTCAAGACAAAAGATTCAAAGTTTTTCTGTGTCAGCTCCTGCATTGAATAATGCTTCTGTTTTTTCTGGATCCACAGAACCCGTTTCCAAGCCAAGGCCTAAAACCCAGTCTCTCTCTATGCCTGTCCAGGTCTCTCATTCAGTTGAGACGGAAGCCGAACCAATGCAGGTTGGACACACAAGGCAATCTCCTGAGGAAAGACTAAGACGTTTCAGGGGCAAATTATGCATCTACTGTGGTGAGACTGGCCATTTTATTGCTTCATGCCCTGCTAAGTCAAAAGCCGGGGCCCGTCAGAGGATCTGAGGAGTCTGACTGGCCATTTGAAAACTGAAAAATCTCCTCAGTTGATGCTTCCAGCCACCCTGTTTTTCTCTGACCAGAATCTCACATTGTCAGCCTTTATCGACTCTGGCTGTGAGCGTAATCTGATAGACTCTAACCTGGTTCTGCAGCTACAGATCGAAACTGTCCCTTTAACCAAGCCACTTAGTGTCTCAGCTATTGATGGGAAGAGACTCCATCAGGTTACCCATCAGACACAACCTCTTGAGCTTTTGATCTCAGGTAATCATCGTGAAACTCTGACATTTTTTGTTCTTCCTTCCGCATGTTCTCCCTTGGTGCTTGGTTTTGAGTGGCTGGAACGACATAATCCCCATATAAACTGGGCTGAACGCCACATTGATTCGTGGTCGACCTCATGTCATGAAACTTGCCTTCGTTCTGCAGCTCCTGCTGTAAGGTCTCCTAGAGGTAGGGGGGAGATGGACTCTCCTGACCTTACTTCTGTCCCGCCCGAGTACCATGATCTGGCTCCTGTCTTCAGTAAGGTCAGTGCTACGTCTCTTCCACCTCACAGCTCATATGACTGTGCGATTGAACTATTACCAGGAGCTCCCCTGCCCAGCAGTAGACTTTACAACATTTCCAAACCAGAACGAGAAACCATGGAGAAATATATAAATGAGTCCCTAGCTTCTGGAATAATCCGTCCATCTTCTTCTCCGTTGGGTGCTGGTTTCTTTTTTGTGGGCAAAAAGGATGGTTCTCTAAGACCTTGTATAGACTACAGAGGCCTTAACCAAATAACTGTTAAAAACAAATACCCACTTCCGTTACTAGCTTCAGCCTTTGAACCAGTACAAGGGGCTACTGTCTTCACCAAGCTTGACTTAAGAAACGCATATCACCTTCTCAGGATTAGAGAAGGTGACGAGTGGAAGACAGCCTTTAAATCCCCTTTGGGTCAGTTTGAATATCTGGTCATGCCTTTTGGTCTCACTAACGCTCCTGCATGTTTCCAAGCCCTCGTCAACGATGTCCTCAGAGACTTTTTGAATATCTTCGTGTTTGTATACATTGACGACATCTTAATCTATTCAAAGAACCTTTCCGAGCATAAAAAGCATGTCCGCCTGGTACTGCAAAGATTGTTGGAGAACAAACTTTTTGTAAAGGCTGAAAAATGCGAGTTTCATCAACCTTCAGTCACCTTTTTAGGGTTTGTGCTCGAGGGTGGGCAGGTTAAGCCATCTGAAGAAAAAATAAAGGCTGTTTTGGATTGGCCGATACCTGAAAACCGAAAACAGCTGCAGAGATTCCTGGGTTTTGCCAACTTCTACCGTCGATTTATCAGGAATTATAGTCAGACAGCTCTACCTCTCACAACTCTAACATCAGTCAAAAAGACCTTCCAGTGGACCCCCGAAGCACAAAGTGCTTTTGACAAACTAAAGACTTTATTTTCCAGAGCTCCCGTGCTAATCCAGCCTGATCCTGCCAAGCAATTCATCCTCGAGGTGGACGCCTCTGACTCTGGTGTTGGTGCCGTGTTATCTCAACAACTCGACTCTGATCAAAAGATTCACCCCTGTGCATTTTT